CACTCATACACACACACACACACTGCCCTCAGACAAAATTGTACGCTTTCAACTCGAGAGCGCTGGAACGTTTGTTTCCACTCGTATCACAGGCCATCACGCGTGAACACAAGGTCGCGCCCAAGTGTCGCCCGGACGCGAGATAGGGCAGTTGAGACATCTCTTGGTAGGCGTCTACATTTTTTGTCATATAATATCCTAATGTGTTGTTGCGTAATTGAGAATTCGCCGTTTTCCCTTACACTGGCGTGCTCAGTGTAAGGTAAAACGACGAATGGTCGATGGGTCAAGGATCAATGTTTCGATTTCCTTCATCTCATATAGGATGGAACGATTGAAGCAGGCCAAAATATTAAATATATACTCGTCACTGTCTACCGGCTTACTTAAACCGGCAGTGGACGCTCGATAAATAATAAAAGCTTGAGTGCCGTTAACGTAGCCTCAACAGCGCCTGCAAACTGAGTTCAGGGCGCCGTGAACATAGCCACTGGGAATTGCAATTACATCAAATTACTGTTGGCCCTTAATTACAGTGAAATGCAGTACAGAGCCCTTTTCTCTGCCCCTCACCCTCATCCCCCCCGCGGCTCCTGACTCTTTCTGCATCCTATCTACTGCTACTCCTTGGCTCCTTCTTTACCTCTGTCCTTCAGTTACACCCCTGATATTCTGGTAGGAAAGATCTACACCTAGCCTTTTCGGACAAGGGTGAAAAATCTTGGAGGTCCCTTGTGTAAGTTGCGCACCTTAAAGATCTCTTGGTTGTCTAAAATTGATAAGAGTAGGCTTCGGCCACCGCCGGGGCAAAATTCAAAATTTCCTTCCATCTGAAAATGTTAAATGTTTCCTGCGCGCTCATACGACCTTATGCAGCTGCGAGAGGCGTAAAACACTTACCAAAAATAAACAAACTGTTTCATATCCCCATCATACGCTTGATTGATGTCTATGCTGTTTCATTTCTAAAATTAACATCTCTAACGTTAATATCTTTCTTCTCTAGAATTCAAGAAGAAATTGTTTCAGACTACTCAGATGTTTATGCATCTGGTGAAGACCATCCGCTGCACCAGTTTTGTGCACGACTCGTTGTCCCGAGAGATGTTGAAGGACGAGCTGGTAAAATCCTCAGGGCAGTGGACCAAGCAGATTTGTCTGATCACAAGGTAAGGAGATTGTGCTGCTGTTGATTATTCGCTCATTCACCGTAACCTTGGTCAACTATTTGTGCAGTTTTGGTTTGTTGTTTTATATTTTGTGTGACATGATTGAACTGTGTGACTTAATTGCTGTACCCGTGTATTGAAGACAGAATGAAATGAAGGGGGAAAAAATTATGTGTGGGTAGGTGTGTACAAGAGAAGTTATAGAAATGTGGTATAGTGAGTTGGAGATGGACTAAGATCATGATTAAGACCCAGGCCTCTTTTTCTGTCTTGTCTCAAGTGAAACTGTCTGTGTAAGCTGTTGTTGTTATCGATCCAGGTCTGTGGTAAAACTAAGACCTGTCAATTTTTACAACAGTTAAAGGAATTGAATTTTATGGTGACCATTTTTTTTTCTTTTTTAGAAGCCTGTTCAGTGAACAAGATTAATTGTTCTATTCTCTGCATATTTTTCTCAATTCTGATTGAAGAATTCTATTTCTAAGCATTTTTTGACACCTTTGTTGACTTGATGAATACAAAATAATAACTTTTCTATTCTGTGTCTGTTTCATGGACTAGGTATGCATTTTTTATTTTTAAAAATTTGTTTTATTAAAAAGCTCCACTTTCTCATTTCATTTCTCCTCAGATGTCACAGATGGAGACTATAGCCTGTGTTGTGTTTATGGCCTCTGTGGAAGTCAGGTATTCTCCTTTACGTACGCTTATAATTGTGTTGGGTTGTTGCACACACATCAGTCTGCACTTATTTATGATCATTATTGTTGTACACCGCAATAAGAATGCCTTAAAAAGTATATTATATTGTTTCTTTTACTAAAATATTTGTGTCATGACACAGTGAATGAAATAAGGCCTTCTTCATTTAAATTATTGATTATCTTAAGAGTTTGCTCATTGATTTTGCTTTTTCAAAAGACAAATTACCTGTCTTTCTCAGAGCTACCCATCATAAATGAATTTGGTTTAATTATTAAAATATATGTTTTAATTTTATAAAATATGATTATAACACCCCTGATTCCGTGGTTCAGCTACCCCCAACCCATCCTCATTCCCCCCCACAATATAAGAAAATTAATCAGACCCTGACTTTCTGTCTACTCACTAGATTCTACTTCACATGTAGCTGTCTTGCACACTCTGTGCACAGAACCCTTTGTACAATAGTTGCCCAGTCTGGTGCCACTTTTCCCTTCGAAAGACAGTCGCACCAAAGCCAGGAGTAAGGCAAACAGTTTGACAAGGTGTTAACAAATTCCTGCGCTTTGTCGAGTCCAAATGAGAGCATTAAAAAGGAAAATGGATCGTGGTGATGGACAATGCGGATCAAAGGCTTGTGTGATTTGTCCCGTCGGTTTCATTTGTTTTCGCAAGAGTCGACACTCACTGACAGCCTACAGTGGCACTCGGATTTAACGAGCTCGGATACAACGAGAACTCGGAGATTCCCCGTTTTTTTTCTTCTTTAAAATCAATAAAAATGACCTGGATTCAAAGAGCACTGAAATCAGCGAGCTCGGATTCAACGAGGTTGCTTCCAGGGTGAACAGCCCCGGCAGACGTGGCTTCGCTCATTTTTCTCCCAGAACGAACTTTATCTATTCCCGGAAACCATCCATTGCACCTGCATTGTAAACTTAGCTATCATTCATGCGACCAATCAGCTGCCTTTTTTCATACCAACAAAATATACGTTTTTGGCACGCGCACGTGTTTACTCTGGCGTGTGTCGGGGTCGGATGGACGGCCTGCGGATGTGTGACTGTGTGTGTGTGTTGCAGGGGGGGGGGGCGCGGCACTAGCGTTCCGGGCGTTGAACGTCGCAGATACAAGCGTGTCTGTCTTTTTTTTAACCCTCGGCAACTGATCATTATTTCAATTATAAAAGCTAGTCTTGACGTAGATCTATGTAATGAATTGTGCGCTGGTCTATGGAATCAAAAGTTGCTGTCTGCTGAGCTCTACACAGCAACACAACTTTCTGGCAAACAATCGAGATGACACAGGCGTGCATTTGAACGAATCTGTCCTTTTTTCACAGCTCATAATATACAGGCATTTCTGGCACTACTTGTTACTTCTTTATACATTACTAGCTCAGTGCCTGTATCTACACAAAACCTCATGTTGGCTATAACGAACACTCAGATTCAACAAGATTTTAGGTCAGGGCGGGCGACTTCGTTGAATCCCAGTTCCACTCTATTACACTACACCCCTCCCCTTGATTTTTGTAACTTGATAAGAGCCCGCTGAGACCTGTTTTATTTTATACAACAATTTTGTTTTTGTTACAACTTTTTTCATCCTTGAACCTACAACCCCTGTCCTTGACACCCCAGCGAAAAAGAATATCCATGGCCTTAATATTACAAATTTTAAAGAAAGATTACTAATTTTATATTGATTGATTACTGAATCATAGGCAGGAGGATGGGTAGCCCTGCTATCTTGATAAGAAGCAGAGGAATAAAGATACTAGAATTTGCAACTGAAGAAGGCAATCAGGGTCTCTTGGTGTCAAACGTAAAAATAAGGAGAAAATGGCCCCAAGTATTTGCTTTCTTTCAAAGCGTTAAGTGTCCTTTTAAACTACAAATCTACTTTTTGTGGTGTGCCGTTACCTTTTTTCAATGTTTGGTGTCCTTATGTATATTCTATCTCAATATCTGAGCTGACAGTTTCTTTGCTAACTTGCCAGGACTGCATGTTCTGCATGAACCCTGAATATGAATGTATTGTGTCATTAGATTCTGATTAGAATAAAAGTCATTTGACTAAAATCCACAATCTGAAAACACTAGCTGCTTATCCTTATTATAACAAAGCAAACCTTGTATGTGCTTAGCCAAATCAGTTGGTGGTACAAGTCACATCTTTTGTCAACTGCCATGTTTTTCCTCTGTTTTTACACTTGTGTTTTACCTATTTAAAAAAAAGTCATTGCTGTTGGTGAGGACGAAGACAATGTTGGGAACAAAAGGAACCTTGATCATTCACTTTTCATGGAGATATATATATATATATATTTGTTTATGCAAAAATTTCCTTCTGAGTGAGACGATTGATTGATTGATTTTTTTTTTTTTTTACATTTCAAGTTACATGTTTAACTTGCTCTCATGCATTTCTTCCTTTTTTTTTTCTTTTTTTTTTTTTGCATTTTGCAGGATGCCTTATCTTCGAGAAGACCTTAACGAGGCTGTCGAACATTTGTTACCACATTCTGTGACGGTCAACAAGATATTGCAAGTGGCTGATATAAAGTAAGTCTTTCTGTCCAGATTTTTCATTTTGTAGCATGGTCGATCTAGATCTGAGTATGGATTATATTGTAAAGCCATAAATTCACTCCTTGGAAAGGTCATATATACCTTGTTCTTTGCAAGCAGCAACAAAATAAAGATTTATGGAATTGCTTTTACTCCTACTCACCTAACTTTTCTGTATAAATTTTGTGTGAGTGACTACTTAAGGGGTCAGAAAAAAAGATTCAAAGTCACATAAATAGAGTTCTTAGCATGACATGACGACACACATCAGGGGAGACTGCACAACAAAGCATTTCAATGAAATGACTGGATGGCTTTAGATCATAGTTATGTATGGTCTTTTGAAATTGTCCTTACTCATTTGTCTTTCTTAAATGACCTACAGGTGACTTAAATCCATTACTTTTCTTACCCTTCAACTGGTGCAATCTGAGAGCAAGTGTCAGTGGATTGGGGGGGGAGGGGGCTGTGGTTTTTACTGAGGTGAATCTGCCTAAATAGTTAATGTATTCATTGTCTTAGAGTGCCAGATCTGAAACAGACACGGCGATCATGGTTCTCCATTCATTTTTCCGCACGAATGGATGCTCCAAAAAATCCTGTATTGGTCTTGGGGAGTTTCCTTTTTATCCTTCTGTTGAAGTTTTCTGTATGTTTCTTTGGGTCTGCGCCTACCTCATTTGCCTTCTATCTTTCCAGTGAGAGCTAGATGTTCAAAGCCCTTATAATGTCGAGTCTAATGTCCTTGAAACAGCGTTCGTTGCTTTCTAATTGTTCTCATTAGTGAGCAGTCTTCCTGTGCCTCTTTCATTACTTCCTCATTTGTTTTTTGTTTTTGGTCCATGAAATTCTCAAGTCTCCTGAGAAACCACATTGATCATTTCTCTTATTCTATTTTATTTTCACTATCATTGATGATTGTCCAGCTTTAACAGTTTCCTGTCATTGGGCTTCCTCACTTCTCCAGACTAGCACAGAGCACAGTACAGTGTGCTCATCTACTCTTTTGTCTGTTCTGTGCGACTGTTTGGCAGATTAAGCAAGCTAGTAATGTCAAAGAGAAAGCACAATGCATACAGTCTGCTGCTGAAATTACAGTTGCCGAAAGAGGTAGATGAGAAAAAAAAACGTTTAAAAAGTGAGACTATTATATGTGAGCGTGCCTGGTGAAAGGTACCAAAAAATGCATTTGTTAGAACCAAGATATCAGGCTTCAAAGGTCAAAAATAGAATTTTTGACAAAAACTAAGTTCCATTAAAGATAGATTCTAAAGCCATTAATACATCGATATTTACAAGGACTTGGGTTTTTTTAAACTTTAAAATACATTTTTAAAGATGTTTTATAACATGAAATGTATTGCATAATCAAAAAATATGTGTGAGGAAATTGGTTTTCCGAGTACACATTGTGGATGGTTTCTGTCCATTCATAAAGCAGACCCAATCACAATGCACACCGAAATATAGGTCATTCTCTCCTCTCTCTAATGGCAAGTAGTGCGCTTGAATAGAACATGTAAATAAAACGAAGTTTTGCACATCTACACCCTTTCGTTTTTTTAGAGAGCAAATTGTATCGCATATTTTTTCCCTGCACAAACCTAGATCTAATTTCTTGAAAATTCTTGCTCAAGGTGGTGGTGAATTTGTTTTGAAGACGTAATATAAACGTTTTAAAGCTGTTCTTTTGTCTTAGCTGCTTTTTAAAGTTGGTTTGTGAGTAGCGAATGTGTTTTCAGGTCGTCTCGAAGCGTAGATCTATCAATTTGAAGCAGAAAAACAAAGGGGAAATGAAGCCGTTTTTCTCAAAACTTTGTTTCTGTACCCTGCCTTACAAAATCACCCATATCTCAAAAACTACTGAAGATATCTTAAAAATTCAAAAAGTATATTGTTCAGAAATTATCCCCTTACATGCAACTGCACATTAAACGTTTTCATTTGATAAGAAATTTGGAGTTTTCACCCTGGTGGCAGCCGAAGCCTACTTATCGATTTTAGATCACCAAGGGATCTTTAACGTGCGCAGCTTGGTCACGGGACCTCTAAGATTTTTCGCCCTTGTCTGAGAAGGGTAGATGTAGATCTTTCCTACCGGAAGATCAGGGGTGTGGCTGAAAGACAGCTGTAAGAAGGCGGCTAGGAGTAGCAGTAGAAAGGCTGCAGAAGAGTCAGGAGCCCAGAGGAGGGGGTGGGAGCAGAAATTCAGTGGAGATGAAAGCAGACAGAACATTGCTAGAGAGCAAGAAAGGAGGTGAAAGGAGACAATTTTAGAGAGAGAACATTTTTTCTGTTGCTACCCGGATTCAAACCGGGGACCTTTGCATGAGAGGCAAACACCTTAACCTCTAGGCCACAAGAGCCCCCTGAGAGGTTTAGATCTACTGCTTCTTTTGATATTACTCTATGCTTTCTATTATCTTCACATTAAGTAATAAGCGTTTACGTTCACTTTCCATCACAACAGTATCTAGAAGCAATTGAAGTTTCTTTTCTGAATCTGCAATTAAAACTGTCACTGGCATGTCTTTTGGTATGATTTTCTTTGAGACCTGGACTTTCTTCTATGTTTTGAAGCTTTGTTTGTCTAAGAGGACACATTTCTGCCTAATTCTGCTTTTGATATGTTTACATTTGTTGTCCACTGTACTCTCCTTCAATTTTTACAGAGCAGCATTTTGTTCTCAAACCCAGTAAAAAGTCCTAATAACTTTTAGATTTGTGTTTAGCGCTTCCAACATTTACTGTTGCTCATGCTGACCTTTATCAATGAAACATTGCTTGGGTGAATATAGCATTTGGGGTTTCCTTGTCGGGAAGAAAGTCCATGTGAGTTTTAGAATCTCTTGTCTTAGACTTTTTCTTTTTTCCATTTGTACACTAGCAGAATTTGTTTTTGTAAAATGACGTTGTTTATTGTTCTATGCAACTCTCACTCTGTGGCTCCTGGTGTTTTAGGTAAAGCTGTAAATCTGACAGTATTAACTGCTTGAATTTTACTACTATTAATGATGAGAGCTTTGTTGTTATTTAAATAAGTGACTAATTCTTCTTATATGAAAATCACTTCCACTGAGATATATAATCAGCCTCTGTATATCTTCCTTGTTTTATTTTCTCATAGCTGCCAACCAGTATATAAAAAACATATGTTTAATACTTTTTTGATGGTCTGAGCACAAAAGTCTGTTTCTGTGTCAGAAAATATATATTCTTTATTTTCTAGTATTGCTCCTTTTTAACTTTTTTTCAATTTCATCTCATCCTACACATGACTGACTGGTAAAGGATCATTATCACAGCCTGCCCCTGGAAATGATTAAGAAGATTGGCATTTCTGAAATATTGTTGTATAAGTATGAAGTCTATTTAGTTTCTTGTTCTATTTCCTTCCAGTCTCCAGGGCTGGGCTTTTCCACATGTATTGTATTTTTGGTTGATTTTCAAACCATGTTGCGAACAGCAATGGCATGTAGATTGTCTGGATTGGCATGGTGCATGATATTGTCATGTGTTGTACATGTACATAAGGTTATAATTTATGAATGTTACCTAAGTTATGTAACATTAATAAATAATAATCTTATGGACATGTATCTTTGAACACCATTGTAAACTATATATCCTCTAGGTGATAGATAAAGAGAAAGTACATTTATTTTTTGTTCTTTATTACTCAGTATCAAGAGCTTTTTTGACACGATCAACATCCTGAAGGATAAACTGCTTCCTGCTGACTCTGTGACAAATTACCTCATTTCTATAGAGAGAAACTATTGCGTTGTGGCAGCCCTACATAATACATTCCAGACGTAAGTATTTTTCATGTCTCACTAGGACATGCTCTTTTTCTGAATTTTTATTTTTTTTCTGGTTGGTTTGCAGGTATGCCAACTTCTCTGATAAAATTGTTTCTTTTTTCTCTGGAAGAACCCTGATTGCATTTGCATGAAATCCGGGTTTTTTTCCCCCTCTTTATTTCTATGTTCATCGGTCATACGCAATCAATCGAAATGATGTGAATATACACGTTTAATTGTGCTTAATTGCAATATTTACTCGACCTTTTGTAAATGATGTGAAAATGCTCATTTTTATATGTGTCTATAGATCTATGTGCAATATAATATTAGATCTATATACATTTATTAAATTTGCCATGATCGGTTCGTATTATGGTAAGAATCTACTTGGGTTGTGGAGACTCCCAATTCCCCCACAAACTCTGATTTTTAGGTCCCAGACTGCAGTTTAGACTGTGGCAGTCTGTGTACTGCATCTATGTTCAGTATTATGTGTCAGAAGAAGTAAAATGTTCACACAAAAAAGTAGTCTGTTGTGTAGGAGAGTTAGGACTTGGATTTTTTTTGTAGTACATACTTCACTGTTCACAGCTTACTATTTCAATGAGATTGATCACCTTTTTCCATTGCACTGCTGCTAGATCATTTGTTCAGGGCTGTAGCTAGAAACTTTTTCATTGCTCCCCAAATTTGTACAAGGCTGTAGCTGGAATCTATTTTTTACCCAACTTTAGAAAGATTAAGCTGACAATCATGATAGTTTAGTTTGTGGAAAGTACAGAGTAAGCCGATGATCATCCTGATGAAGTGTTTTGAAAATAACTACTGATGTGTAAATTTGTGTATTTCATTAAATTAAATTTTTTTTTTAAATCCTCAGACGCATGTGCTCCAGTGTATTCCGGAATGAAGGCAGGAGTGGAGACGAGTAAGATGTAGCTTTATTTTCCTTCGCTGAACGCTTTGTTCTTTGACCCTTTTTTGTCTTTAACTTGCCACCTTTGATGATGGGCCAATGAAGAGTTGAGAGTTCGTTCATTCAGAGTAATGTTATTCTTTTCATTATCTTACGATTAAGGGTCTTTGCAATGTTTTTGAAAATGAAACACCCTTCTTTGAAATATTATTTTTGCCTCACTATTTGGGGAAATTATTGTGTGACAAGATAGCCTTGTTTGTTATCTGCCGAATTATATATTTAAAAAAAAAAAAAGTTGGTAAAGAACCGAGGTGTAAAAAATTGCCCGAACGAGATGTTTGTTATTTTTGTTTTTCTTCTTTTTCTAACACTCAAACTGTCCACAGAGAATATGTACTGCCACCTATACCTGAGACAGAGGGAGTTTCCTTTCGCAGAAAACAATGCTGGGTGCTTTTCTTGCTGGCAAAACGTAAGTACCATTTTCCATAGTTCTCAGTCCTTTACAGATTGTGGAGTTAATGAATTTCTATTATAAGTCGACACAAGGTTTAAGAATAACAGTTTCGGTTTATTTGAGAAGATATAAGCAGTCGAACCTGTGTAAGACAGCCACCCATTGTCTAGGAGAAAAGTGTCCGTATAAGACAGGTGTCCGTCTCAGGCAGGACTGATCAAGATGAAGAAAGCAAACCGAAGGTTGCAGTATTGTTGATACTGTTGTTGTTGCTGTTTTCGTTGGTTTGTTTTTTGTTTGCTTTTTTATGTTTAGTTGCTTATTTTGTGCAAGGGTGACAATAAAACGAAATGTGTGAGACGAGTAAGTCAGAGTGCCATGTTAAAACAAACACATGGGTCGCCACCACTCGACCCGGAAAACGAGCGGCGCTTCTGTCGCAAGTTCACGTTTATGTTCGTTGTTACCTTTTTACAGACTGGGTAAACAGTGACCACTCATCTCACTTACGATTTGTGTATGAGTTTTGGGTGTGGCTTATGGGTTTTGAGGGATCACACGATTACCTTGTCAGCAGCTGAAAATTTGTTACCTTTTGGTCAGCAGTGGGTGGGACCAACGCAACATGATTGGTTGGAGGGACTACCTAACAACATCGACAGGTGATTAGATTGTGACGGCTCACCTACAACACCAGGGGCCAATGCACAATTTATGACAAAACGTAATGGAGTCACTAAGGTGGCCATCAAAGACAGGTGTTATTGTTTGGTGTGATAGGGGTTATGTGTTAAAATGAAGTGGCCGTGGCCGCATTGGACAGGAAGGCGTTTTACACAGTGAAATGATGTAGTAAAAACGCAAGGGGGGAAATGGAAAGTGGCCGTTTGTACAGAGGTGGCCATCATGGCAGGTTCGACTGTAATTGGAGACATTGTGGTGAAAAAACAGCGTTATTGACAGACAAATACTGAGGACTACTGCTATTCTTTCCATGTATGACTGTTTTAAGTATGCAACTGGTACTAAACTGATAAAAACAATGATATTTTCAGGTATAATGGAACAAGTGGGTGGTTGGCAGGTGCTCTTTCTTTTCGATCCGACATCTGTCATCCTTTTCTCTCATTTTTTAAAATGTATGTTACTTCCTAGTAACTCTTTTAAACTTTGGCTCTTATATTTTATGACCAATTTGTGTTGCAAGTGCAGTAAAATTCTCACGAAACTAAAACTTATTGGAACAACTACCAAAGTTGAATAGTTGATCAGAACGAGGGCATAAATGGAAGAATTGTGACTATTGTTCACTTCTCTTCATTGCTAATGAAGTGAAAGTGGTTAGGTCAGGAAAGCATTCTGTTTTCATCTTGATGTAAAAAAGCCCCAGTGTTAGAATTACAACACGCTGTCCAGGCACAGTGCGTCTTCTGGTGACCCTTTCAACATCTGCCTGCAGGGTTCGGTGCAGGAGAGCACATGTTGATGGATTACTTACAACAAATCTTTTTGTCTTTCCGTTTTTGTGCATTTTATCCTTACAAAAAATTGTGTGTGGGTAGTTGGCGGGTGCTCTGGTGTGGTTTGTTTCTTTCCTATCAAACATCTATCGTCCTTACCTCCCCTTCTTCTTTTTTATGCTTGTTACTCTCTTGTAACACCTCTAATCTTCTGGCGCTCATATGACCTTATACAGTTGTGAGTGCAGTAAAACATTACTAAAACTAAACTTAAAAAATAATGTGTCTGCCATGATTTCAAATACGAAGAATAGAAAGATGTTGCCTCCTCAGCAGGTTAGCGCCGCCCCGCCCCCGAAGAAAAGAAGAAAAAATTAGATACTAAAATATACAATAAAATAAAAGAAATTTTTAAAGTTAAAATTTAAAAGTTCTATCTAATCTATAGGAATTCGGCGGCACCCCTTTCTTTGTTGTAACAAACAGTGGGAGAAACTTCCCACTTGCTCTTTATCAAAAGAAATTATATTATTGTTATTGGTCACTTTTCAGATTATCTTCTCAAAGAGGTGAAGGAGCTGTTTCCGAATTTTCAACTGTTGGTGTGTGCTTTAGAGTTTGTTCTTCGACAGACACCGTCCTTTCTCCTGCATTCACCATACGGTATGTCCCATTTTACAATGATTATACAGTTCATGAAACAAGAGCTTTTATTCGAGTTGTACACAATGCTGACACAAGGTATTTTGTCTCAAAGGCAATGGATTTGGTTCCCTGTTCACTATCAGGTTGAGGGGCAATTTTTGTGGAAGGGTTCTACAAATGCGCATTTGTTATCAGACTTGACTGTTGATCTGGTTAGATGGACTCGTGCAAGTTAGGAAGAGATGTAGCTGTTGTGGTGGCGGTTTACCTTGAATTTGAACTTCAAACTTCTCTGCAGATGATAAAGTAGTTAATTAATCGGAAATGAAGCTCTCGGTTTTGAAGAGTCGAGGTTATCACTCAATTGTGATGGGATTTCCTTCTGTGAAAATAGATAACGAGCATTTTGTTTTTGCGCAAGTCATGTTCTTCCGGGTATCGTGTGGACTATTTATTTACACTGTGCTTAATTTAGTCCTATTAGAGGTGAATCGCCTCGTAAGTGACCTTGTTGAAAGGGGCGTTACATCTACCGTCTCAGGAGTTCTGCTTTTAGTTAAATGAAGTTTATACTGCAGAAATCATGCTTTCTTGTATTTCAAATCATCAGTCTGCTGCATTGTATGTAACCACCATGTTGTATTTATGTCGTCTCAAAAAGTATGCACACATTCTTTGTGGGTGGTTGGCGGGTGCTCTGGTGTGGTTTGCTCTTTCTTTCCTATCAAATATCTTTCGTTCTGATCTCTCCTCCTTTTTTATGTTTGTTACTCTCTTGTAACACCTCTTATCTTCGGCACTTATGTGACCTTATTGTGTTGCAAGTGCTGTAAAACTCTTACTAAAACTAAAACACATTCATTCACAGCTGGTTGGGGATAATAAATAGACCCACTGCATGACAGGATGAGGTACAGTTTTTCCAGTGGTGAAATGTTGTCCATGGAGAACCACCCTCATTTGTGTGATGTTTACCCTGCAGTATTGTTTTTCTCTTCTGTCCTTCCTTTATTATATTTTCTGTTCCTGTGACACTGTGGTGATTCATTTATGTTTCGTAGGCTGGTAAATCTTAATGAAGTGGGTGGTTGGCGGGTGCTCTGGTGTGGTTTCCTCCTTCTTTCCTATCAAACATCTGTCGTCCTTATCTCCCCTCCTTTTTTGTGTTTGTTACTCTCTTGTAACACATCTATTCTTCGGCACTTATATGACCTTATTGTGTTGCAAGTGCCGTGAAACTCTTACTAAAACTAAAATCTTAATGAAAACAAAACAACTAATGAAATATGCACATGTCTCATTTTCTTTTTCCCCAAATCACTGTTTCATATTTCTTTGCAGATTCATTTCGCTTTGAGTCCTCTTCCGCAACAGATGATAGCACAGTCCTTTTGGATCATCTGGTATCTGACTTTGACTTGCCCCTGTCAGAGGTTGGTATTTCCAGAAGCTTGAGGGGCAAAGTGTTTCTCGCATACCCGTTGTACATCTCACATACAGGCCATGTACCTCTCTCATATAGGTTTGTGTCTCTCTCGCATACATACCATGTCTCTCTCTCTCTCTCTCTCTCACATACTGACAGTGTCTCCTTCGCATACCTACTATCTCTCTCACATTCAGACCACACCTCTCACATACATGATACTGTCTCTCTGATGAACAGTCTATGTCTTTCTCACATTTGTCTTTCTCAAATATATACAGTCCATATCTCTCTCAGACATACATACAGCCTCTCTCACATAAGGCAATCTCTCTCTCACAAACATGCTGTCTCTCTCCCAACAGACCATATATCTGTCATATGCAGACCACATCTCTGTCATATACATGCCATATCACTCTCTCACACACATGCTGTCTCTCTCCCACCAGACTCTATATCTGTCATGTGCAGACCACGTCTCTGTCATATACATGCCATATCACTCTCTCACAAACATGCTGTCTCTCTCCCAACAGACTCTATATCTGTCATATACAGACCACGTCTCTGTCATATACATGCCATATCACTCTCTCACAAACATGCTGTCTCTCTCCCACCAGACTATATATCTGTCATATACAGACCACGTCTCTGTCATATACATGCCATATCACTCGCTCACAAACATGCTGTCTCTCTCCCACCAGACTCTATATCTGTCATGTACAGACCACGTCTCTGTCATATACATGCCATATCACTCGCTCACACACACTGTGCCTCTCTCCCACCAGACTCTATATCTGTCATATACAGACCACGTCTCTGTCATATACATGCCATATCACTCGCTCACAAACATGCTGTCTCTCTCCCACCAGACTCTATATCTGTCATGTACAGACCACGTCTCTGTCATATACATGCCATATCACTCGCTCACACACACTGTGCCTCTCTCCCACCAGACTCTATATCTGTCATATACAGACCACGTCTCTGTCATATACATGCCATATCACTCGCTCACAAACATGCTGTCTCTCTCCCACCAGACTCTATATCTGTCATGTACAGACCACGTCTCTGTCATATACACGCCATATCACTCTCTCACAAACATGCTGTCTCTCTCCCACCAGACTCTATATCTGTCATGTACAGACCACGTCTCTGTCATATACATGCCATATCACTCTCTCACACACATGCTGTCTCTCTCCCACCAGACCATATATCTGTCATATGCAGACCATGTCTCTGTCATATACACGCCATATCACTCGCTCACACACACTGTGCCTCTCCCACCAGACTCTATATCTGTCATCTCTCCCACCAGACTATATCTGTCATGTACAGACCACGTCTCTGTCATATACATGGCATATCACTCGCTCACACACACTGTGCCTCTACATTCACCGTCCTGTTCTCTCTACATGTGCCTCTGTTTGCTCTCCGATCGCTCACATGGATTTTCTGCCCTGGCCATGCAGGTGTTAGGGGAAATGAAAAAGCCGACAGATTGGCTGGTCAGGCCACCTTAGTTGACAATACGGTTCAACCAGATAGGGTCGAGATCCTGAAATGTCTTTCTCGCCAACTGACTGAGGAGGAAGATAGGGAGGCAGAGGCCAGTACTGCCGTGGAGAGGATGATGCTTTTGGGAATAAAAAAAGGAAGTGGAAAATCTGGCATCCTTGCAGGAAAGAACAGAAGAACGTTCAACCAGATGTGCACTGGCACAATCAGTAGAAGGACCCTCGGCAACATTTTGGAGAAAGCAACAGAGCATCAATGGACATGTCCGGAGTGCAGGGATGTTGCTTCCTGAAACAAGAACAAGAACTGTTTGCTCTCACGAAAAACAAAATTTATACTCTTGGAACGTGAGCTAAAGTTTTGTATTGTTTTTATTTATAATTTAATTAGTAAAAAAAATTTTTTTGTGCTTTTCTGTATGACTTGTGTGCTGAATTCCATGTTTTATGTTTATTCAGCAGGTTTCTTATATGAACAAGATTGCACTACCGTACTTCCAGACACTTCTCACGAATGACGGCCAATTAGATGTAAGTATATAGCGGATTGTGTTGCTGAGGGAAAGTTTTGTATGTACCTGTCTGTATTTTTCATTTTTACAAAGACATTGGGAGTGAAGTAATTATTAAAGCTTAATTTACTTGAAGTCATAATTTTAAAAGACTCTCACGATTTTAAGTCATTAGTTAAATGATAGGGAGGCAGCTGTATTGGAACACAGGATAATGGATTACTAAGATCGCGAAATTAAAAGGCTTTGCAAAACATGAAAAAAAGTTAATCGCCAGAAAAAAGACCCTACAGGTATGCAGTGAGTTCTGTGGCTGTTTGCACACATATATAATTAAAATATATAGGCACACAGGTACATTAAGGTACTTGGTTAGATTGCCTTCTGGGAAAGTTATTTATTGGGGATATCTGTTAGGGTGCTGTGTACCACTGATTTATGTGAGGCATCGTGGTGAAATCATGCGCTCGTCAAACTAATTATATTGAAAGTACTAGTGTTCTTCCAACGGTTAGTAAATTTTGGTACGATTTTTGTTGTTTTGCTCAACACCTTTTATCTCCATGGAAAAACACATTTCTGTGTTGATTTGTCTGAAAAACGTTGACTAAAGACACAAAAAGTAGCATTTTTCTCACATGATAATGAGCTGTCTGTTTTTTGTCCATTTCAGTTAGACCAGCTGTGTGCAGAATATGACGTTATCTACAAGAAAGGAGGCGGCATTGACGAAATGCTCTTTCTGGAGAGAGATTGGCACCTGATGCCACTTGATATCACAAGGTTTGTTATGATAGAAGGTTGTTGCATTTTGATTTCTTCCCATTTTTAAGATTTGGAAGGAATACTCTGTCATCTGTCTCCATCACCCCTGTCAACAGTTGGAGCTTAACATAATATCTCCAAAGTCAACTGGCGTCTGTGGTGTGGTGTTTAAGTCCTACGTTGTTGCAAAAGACCTGATTAGATTCCCTCATGGGGACAATTTAGAGTATCTTTGTCCTTCTGCTGGGACATTGTATCCATCTTTGTCTAGTTGGCCCTGACAGGCAGGGTTGATGCCTACCTCGAAAATGATCTAATTGTGTCAATGGGGGCATAAAAACAGTTTTTTTAAACAAATTCATGCAGTTCACCCGTTTTCTCAATCGAAAAAAGTTTGCTTAAATTTAGCCTACTTTCTTGTTATACTTTCTTCTATCAACAATTCGTTGGCAGAAGCCTTTAATTCTTAAGCGTTTTGTAAAAGTTAAATGTGGGTGGTTGAGGGAACCACATGTATGTCTTACTATTTTCGTTCCCTTTTTTTTCTGGTTTGTCTGCTTGTCTGGTTTTTTTCTCAACACTAACTGACCATCATTTTGCTGATATACTTCTTGCAGACTCAAAAAAATTAAAATTGTTTTTAAAAAAGCCATGCAAAATGTTGGCTTCCTTATTTGATCTCCTTTTTCTTCATAGTGTGTTATAAGGCTCAGTACTGATCATGCTCCTCTGAATGCTTATTTCTTGTAGCCAATTTGCACAAAGTATTTTTTTTTTTTTCTCTGCCTTACTTTGTAAACCCCTCCCTCCTTTGGGTTTGCTGTTGCTGAGTTTGTAGGTAGGTGTAAGACTAGTCACTTCACAAGAAGAATAGTTATTATTCGAAGTATTTCTTTTCAGTTTAACTCCATATTGGCTGTGTCTATTAACGCCCTTTTTGTTTGCAAATACAACTTCCACAAATTTTTAAATTTTTAAATAAAAAAAAATACAAAAAACCAAACAAACAAAAAAAACCAAATCCCAGTAGCACTCATGTGGCAAAGATCTTCTTCAGTCCTCCTTTTGGAATTTACTTTACTCCACACGTCAGGGGTCTCCGTTCCCAGTGAGGCCAGTATGGGGATAGCCATAATGTCATGCGTGAAGGACTATTTTCAAGAACGGGGGGCTGACACTGATGTTGGTCTTTACCAGTACGTGGTTGTCAGGTGTACTGGTGTGGTTTGCTCCTTCTTTCCTAATCAAACAGCTATTGTCCTTTTCTCTCCTTCTTTTCTTCATATGTTACTCCCAAATATATTTCTAATCTTCGGTTTACATATGACTTAATTGTGCTGCAGGTTCTGCTAAACTCTTACAAAAACTAAAGCTAAAACACCATTACCACTTCTCATGTTTAGTTATGTGCATGCATTTGAAACTCAAAATTGTCTCTCAAAATGGCCTGCTTATTAATGCCTTATTTATTAGGATGTGCTTATATAAATTCCATTTTGTCTTTCTCAGTGGATTTGATGCACTCAGCATTGACAATGACCGTCAAAAGGATAAGCAAAGCTCTCCTCTAGGCAGTATGACCCCCACAAGGTAATGTTGTTATCGATCCAGTAACAGCTGGGCTCTTGCCGTTCTGTTCAATGCCACGTAAGGATAAGTGCAGGTTTGCTGTAGCTGCAGTAATGTTCCATAGAGTGTGTTGTCAATGTTAGGTCTCGGAGGGAGAAGAGTAGCTCTGATGTCATTTAGGTGATAATCCACAGTCTCATATGCGTATTTTCACAAAGCACACATTGAGGGAATTTCTGGTTTTATTTTGTTTAAGTGGAAGTTGATCTGTAATGTTCTGTTCATATGCGTAAGATCGGGGTCTGTTTCTGTCTGTGTAGGTGGTTGATATTGTCATTTTTTCATTTTGTTGTGGTCATACCCACAAGGTAGTAATTTGGTGTCATCTAAGTGTGTCTCTTTATGTTTTTTTTTGTCGTGTTTTTTGCTGTAAAACAAATTTCCAAGTTACAAAAGTTTTCTTTTTTTTTCTTCTGTTTCTTTTGCAAATTTACATATGGACAGCTGTTAAGACAAAAAAAAACCAATTGATAAAAATTGCTCAAGGAAAAGAAAGATGCCAGTTACTTTCATTATTTTGACAAGCGCCTGATTTCACCACGGTGCCTCACTTACAGAACTATCTCACATATCATGGTGGCCTTAGGGACAAACCCAAAGTAGGGTGCTGTGCTCCTAGGGGAGGAATCATGTCTTTTAAAGTTAAATGTTTGTGGGTGGTTGGCGGGTGCTCTGGTGTGGTTTGCTCCTTCTTTCCTATCAAACATCTATCGTCCTGATCTCTCCTCCTTTTTTGTGTTCGTTACTCTCTTGTAACACCTCTAATCTTCGGCACTTATATGACCTTATTGTGTTGCAAGTGCCGTAAAACTCTTACTAAAACAAAGTGAAACGTTTCTTTGCCTCGATTGGTAGGTTTTGCTCCTCTTTTTCTTAATTTATGAGATTCCAGAACCATAACTGTTGTGTTACCCTGAGCTGCATTTGGCCTGTGGTTCCATTGCTTCATGGCTGTCTCAACAGATTCTTAACATCTTCCACTTCAGAGTCTTGAGACTCGCATCAACCACCATTTTATGCTCAGATTACTTTTTTCTTTGTACTGTGTGATAGGAAAATCATTTCCCTGCATTTTGTTGTAGAACCCTTTTGGGTTATTGTGAAAAAATTGTCCGGAATTGTTATTTTTTTTCTGATTACAAACAGGAATAAAGCACTTGATCCCCAGTGAAAATGGCTTGGTATAGAAAGAGTTAGAATTGTTTCGGGTTGTTAAATGAAATTGGGCATGATGATAATGCATACTTTTTATTCTTTTCACCTCATCATCTCTCACTGTTTTGTCCAAACAGGGCTGCTGTTTCAACTGTGCAGCAGTTCATGTCTATAGTGAAGCCTATGAAAGCAGAACCTACAAAGAGTCTTCTAAAAATCTTTAAAGTAAGTGATTATTGAGTGAAATGTTGTCTTTCTTTTACAGAATTAATTCTCTAACTGGGATTATAATAGACCTGCATGTTTGCCGACAATCGTCTGAAATCCGACAATCACGACCCGACCCGCGAACCGGCCGATGCTATCGCTAGGCCCGCCTGTATCAGTCAATGTGCGTAGTGCGAGGCCTGGCCGACTGCCAGCGACCCCTTTTTCTCCCGTCGGCACTTTCGTTTTCGTGCCGACCGCCGACGCGTGCACCGCTGACTGCCGACGTCGGCGTTTCCGACATAATTGTCGGAACCTAAGTAGAAATGCGAATACGAAAAAGGACGACAACCTAAATTATCTACTTTCAGTTTCGTGCTCGAGCGGCCATTTTTAATTTCGTTTGTTGACTAATTCAATTGTTTAGATCGTGTTGATTCATTCATCAAGTCCGACTCTCTTGTTCTAATAGAATCTAGATCTAGATCTAGATTTATATAGATCATTATAGACCTCAATGGAGGATTCATATTCCAATTCTATTGTGTCAAACCCTATCATAGGTTGTGCTGTAATATTAATATTGGTAAAAATAAGCAATTCATCAGGTGCGTGAATTATTTATTTTTATTTAGATCTCTAGATCTAGAATCTAGATCTAGATCTAGACTCAGCTGAGTCCCTCTGTTCGGGATCGGATGCGGATTTCGAGTTCAAGGCCTATTCCTATTCACTTGTTCTACTAGATCTAGATCTAGATTTATTTAGATTACTAGATCTAGATCTATATGGAGGATTCATATTCCAATTCTATTGTGTTATTGTATCAAACCCTATAGCAATGTAGATGTAAGCCATATATAGATCTAGAATCTAGATCTAGATTTTATATGCTTATTGTTTGTTTTAGGGTGTGGTTTTTTAATTTAATTTTTTTTTTTCATTTAGGACTTGTTTTGGCCTTTTTACATGAGGCCCGTTGCAGGTTCTTTTCGGGGTAGGGTTAGGGTTAGGTCTCTTTTTTATTGTGTTTTTTGGGGTGGTCGCTCGTTACTCGGATGTCCTTCCTTATGACACCCACAAAGGCTTTTTTTTTGGGGGGGGGGGGTTGCGCAAAATTTTCAGACAATCTGGTTGAGGCTCACATGCAGGTCTATTATAAGTTTTAGAGTAAATGAGTTACAATACAGCTGTTACAGATCAAGAATGCGGTCCTATCAGAGGGAGAAACAAAAATACAGGTGAACCAGTCCAAGATGTCCACCCATTGTCCGGGACAAAAGAGATCTCTCTCTCTCTCCCTTTCCCTCTCCCTCTCCCTCCCCCCCCCCCCCTCTCTCTCTCTCTCTCTCTCTCTCTCTCTCTTTTTTGGTAAGTGTTTTACGATGCTCGCAACTGCATAAGGTCATATGAGCGCGCGGGACACACCAACCATTTTCAATTGGTAGGAAATTTTGAATTTTGCCTGGGTGGTGGCCGAAGCCTACTCGTATCGATTTTGGACCACCAAGGGATCTTTAACGTGCGCAACTTGCAGCTCCAAGATTTTTCGCCCTTGTCAGAGAAGACTAGGAGTAGATCTTTCCTACCAGGAGATCAGGGGTATGGTTGAAAGACAGCAGTAAGGAGCCAAGGATTAGCAGTAGAAAGACTGCAGAAAGAGTCAGGAGCCCAGTGGAGGGGGCAAAGGAGGGGGTGGGGGAAGAAAGTGGCGACGAAGGCAGACAGAATATTGCAAGAGAGAAGGAAAGAAGGTGAAAGGAGACAATTTTAGAGAAGAAAATTTTTCGGCCGCTACCCGGATTCAAACCCGGGACCTTTGAATGAGAGGCGAACGCATTAACTTCTAGACCACGAGAGCCCCCCGAAAGAGATCATCTCGGACAGTGTCAATATGTTATCGATAGAGAAAAAGAGGGGGGGAGGGGGGTGTGTGTGTGAAGTGGGAAGTGGTTGCTTATATAGGGGCGATTGTCTTGAACAGGTATTGATTACAGCTAACTGCATATATGCTGAGACCTGTATAGAGGAGATAGGTTTTATAGTTGAAGAGTTACTACTTGCAGTTTCCCCCGTTATCCCGTAAAAAAAAAATCAACCACTGTGTCCTGTATGATTTTTTTTCCAGCCTTGAACTTGAATGACTTCCCTTGTGTTTGTGTGCTTCCTTTCCTACTCACATCTAGAAACTGTGTATATATATTTATATATATATATAGAGAGAGAATTGCCTTTAGACTTGTGTGTGCCATATTTATCTTATGACGTTTGAATGCCCTGAATACCCCAATGGATGGTCGGAGGGTGCCACCGGAAGGTCCCTATTATTTCCGTTTCTCAATTATTCTGGCCCTCTCTTGCGTAATCCTTACACTGAATGATAGTTATTTGTGCCGATGTATTTTTCTTTGCTCAAAGTAATCTGTGTGTTATCACGCTGGCTTGATGCAAATTACAGCTCAGCTCTTTGATTATTGTTACATTGTGTAGTCTGATGAAGCTGGTGGTTGGAGGTACGTCCTCAGATATGATGAGATGAGACAAGATAAACTTACTTGATCCTCGAGGTATATTTTCTATACTCATTAGGCGCACACATGTTCATACACATAGTGATCATTCTGTTTCACATGATGATCCTTAGATTTGTGTTATACAGTCGAATCTGCTCTGACAGCCACTTGTCCAACAGAATCACCTGTACGCTCACGCACGCACACACAGAGGGTTTTTTGAAAATCAGTGTAATGGCACTGTCCATGAAGTCTTAAGTGTTCAAGACTTCAATTTTTCTCACCAACAATAGATGACCGCCTTGGACAATTTTGAATGTTCTTTTGCTTTCTCTCCATTATTTCTGTCTGTCTCGCCCTTTCCCAGCACTAAATGGCCGTTATTGTCTGGATATGCTTCTCTTTACTCAACTTCAACATGGTCTGGCGATAATGGTGATGGATGTATGTCTTTTGATCCAGTGGTGCAAGCCTGACCCGACTGAGTTAGTGAGGGAGCAAGTCCTCGCTCTGCAGAACGCGTTTGTCAACAAGTACAAGACCTTGATGGGGCAGAAGGACATCTATGTGCCATGTTGCCGCTACTCCAATGCCATCAGACTTTTCTTCAAGGTCCTCGAATCAATGCTAGAAAAGGTGTTGTGTTTTTTTACTGATTGCTTCTGTTGGAGACCATACACTCTAATTCCTGATTTTTACACCCTAGGACACAGTATTTTGAGATGTTTATAAAAAATTATGTAAAAGAACCCAAATTTGATTATCTTAAATAATTGTGATCTCAAAAAGTAGCAAACTAAGGCCAGCAACTATTTTTCTGTTATAGAATGTAAATAAAGTTGTTGGTTTTTTTAAAGACGGATCAGAGCATACGTTTATGGACATTGCAGTATATTGTTTGTGTGTACTTGGCCCAATTTTGTTTTTATTATACAGTGAATTAACGACATGAGTCATCAACAAATTCAGGATGGCTTGGTATAAAGCTACTGAAAGATAATAGAAGAAGCAAATCTGAACAGAATCCTCTTTTACAGTTGTCCACTGTTAAGTGTTGTACTTGCAGAGAGATGAGGCTGTGTAATTTTGGAGATCAGACTGTTGTTCTATAGTAGTTGTGCCACATCTTTTATAGTAGTTTTGACTCATCAAATGCTTATATCTCTATATTGATTTTTTTCTTTACAGGAGTCGAAACGGTTGTCGGAGAATCTCTTGGGCACTTTGCTTCAAAAAAAGGAATTCATTCAGTCTATGGTGGCAGTCAGCTGTGAGGTCACCATCGCTACATTTGGTCAGAGTTGTAAGTTGTAGCTGTTGTGTGCTGTTTTATTTATTTGAGTTTCCACCTTGAGCTAAATAGAAGCTCATCGGCCCTGTCTTTGTTTTAATGGAGGAGTGAAAAAAAAACTTTTAAAGTCAGGCGGAAATGAAAGATAAAAAACAGTACGGCCTGTACGGCAGACCCTCCAGCGGTCTATGTGGGATTTTGTTCACTCCAGGTTCTCTATGTCTCCATTGTCAACAGTAAGGTAGCCATGGTATAATGGGAGGAAAATGATTTAATTTTTTTTAATTATCAGAAAGGGGTGGCTGAAGTAGACCTTTGCCCACTGAGCCTTTGTGCTATGTTTCAATAGGTATTAATGTACCGTGCTTCCACTCTTCCGTATTTTTACGGAAATCTGTACTTTCTGCTAGTTCCGTACTTGTTCCTCTGTCATTATGCTAGTTCCGTACTTGTTCCTCTGTCATTATCAACTCCCACCGTAAAAATGTGCGATAGCGTAGGACTACCGAAATTTCGTAGCAAAAGATCCGTACTCGCCTTCCTATAGTCTTGTATAAGATACGGATATTTATGGTAATTCTCTCGGCAATAGTTTATGTTTATAGAAACCTGCCAGATTGCGCATTTCCTGCAATCGGCCATTATTCCGCTATGCCCCATGCGTTCATTGCGGGGTCGGCAGTACATTTTTTACCTGCAGATTGATCAAATTATGGCGAATTTTTTGTGCCACTTTCCTCCTTTCTGTCATTCCCTCATTCCGTCTGTCTATCTTCGGATTGTTGCCGCGGCTGGAAAATCTGCGCGTTGATCAAGTGTATTGACGTGTGATCTTATACAGAAAATTACTGTCAGAAAGAAACTTTTTTGCAAATTTATTGTCCAGATGTAGATCTAGAGAAATTATCAGTGCGAAGATTCTACGGCGCGGGAACGAGATAAGGGCCGCGATGAAAGAAATTTGTGCTAAAACTAATAAAATCAAGAATAATTCGAAGTGGTGTTCCAAGGTTTGGACATGCAACATTCAGACGTAAAAATTGAGGAAAATTTGGGTATACGCTGGGTAACTAATGTGAACGTACATATCTATTCATTATTCCTAGGTTTGCCTTCTATCAATGGTGCGATTACAAATTAATTATAGTCGCAATGGAAGGGGAACCTGCTTTTAAACATTGCCAGCAATGGAAAGATATGTTGGTGAAGAAATCAAACAAGACTAGTATGGGTTGTTGGCTATCTCTTCAAACAGGCTCCCAAATGCCTTTTTCAACCCTCTAAAAGTACCCCATTTCAATTTCTTCAGGGGCTTCGTCCCCTGAACCCCCACCGGGACGCTGTCCCTGGACCCTGATGGGGGCAAACCGCGGCAGAATTTTCCTTACCTTTTGGCTTCAGCTGGTGGAAGCACTGAATGTAGAGACCTTATGACTGGGGCCTATTGCATTTTAACATCATTGAAGTTGTCTCAGCTACATGCATTAACTTCAGACCATTTTTCTCAATATGTCGTAAGGAAATGAGAAGGGGGAAATTTGTCACGCCAAAGTTGAACCCTTTAAAAATCATTCTCATCTTTTGGGCCTCATTGAATTTGTCGTAAAATTTTGCTTAGGAGGTAAACTCGGTCTGTGGGTTCTGTTACTGCTTAAAGTAATCAAAAACTTTTTTGATATCGTAATTAATAGAGGAAGAAAGAGATTTATATCAGAGTAACAAGTCTTTTGTTCATGTTTATTTAGATGTTAAGGAATACAAAAAATTGCAAAAATAATTTACTTCTATCGCTATATGTGGCAGCCATAGATTTTTTAATAAAATGTGAGTGGTTGGCGGGTGCTCTGGTGTGGTTTGCTCCTTCTTTCCTATCCATCGTCTATCATGCTTATCTCCTTTCCTTCTTTTCTTTGTTGTATGTTACTCCCAAGTGACACCTCTAATCTTCGACACTTATATGACCTATTTGTGTTGCAAGTACCATAAAACTCTTATAAAGATTAAACTGAAGATCTGGGCGGCGGTACAGATTAGGAAGCCAAGCCCGATGTAAATGTGTAAATCTTGTTTTCAGTTCTTCAATTATTTTTTTATTTATTTTTTTTTAAATCTCCAGGGAGCCAGGCATCAGGCTCGATGACCTCAGAAGCAGCCAAGTCCAAGTTTCCGTGGGTGCTGGAAATTTTTGACCTCCAGGCGTATGAGTTTTACAAGGTGATAGAGAGCTTCATCAAAGCTGAGCCATTGCTTCCTGCTGTCATTGTGAAGGTAAGAAGAAAAAGGGAAAGACAGTTTTAGTTTTATCAGAGTTTGTTTTTTTTTTTTTTTTGGGGGGGGGGGTTGGTATTCATTAGGAAATTTCATTCTCAAAGACAAGCGTAATGTGAGTAGTGTATATCTGTTGCTGCATGTTGAAATCAGGCGTTCGTCAAAATAATGAAAGTACAGAAACGGACATTTTTCCGCCTGTTGGGCAATTTAGATAAAAATTTCTTTTTTGTAGTTCAACATCTTTTATGTCTATTTAAGGACACGTTTCTGTATGGATTTTACCCCCTTTATAATGAATTAATTTAAAATTGTAAGACAGGCTTTCAATAAATTCACATTTACCAGTTGTGTTTGATGAATGTCATTCTAGCACAAATATTTCATTACATTCTGGAAGGAGTGTGTCTGTTCATGACTTTGTCTCAGTCATGTCACTTACTCATACTGTTTGGTGAACTATGGCTTTTAACTCATTATCGCTGGTGGTTGGCGGGTGCTCTGGTGTGGTTTGCTCCTTCTTTCCTATCAAATATCTATGGTCCTTATCTCCCCTCCCTCTATTTTATGTTTGTTACTCTCTTGTAACTCCTCTAATCTTCTGGAGCTTATATGACCATATGCAGTTGCGAGCGCCGCAAAATCTCTACTAAAACGAAACAAAAAACTCATTATCTCCGACAAGCTGATCCCAGTAGCTCGCGGTCGAAACTGCTATGCCAGTGAGCCGCTGGCAGCGGCTTGGGATAATTTTTTTTAGGACGACTTTAATGTCAGATTAGTTTTCAGCAATTGCTGAAAATGGGTCTATGTTACCAGTTCATTCATTCATTAGTTTCACACATTCTTTTTTGAAGACAATCCTGTAAGCTGTCAAAATTTTAGCACAGCAATGAAACTCCTTCCTGCTTCGGAGTCGTATATTTATTTCATATATACATTAACTTTGGGACAAATATTACATGTATATTTTGCTTGTTGCTTACTTTACTTTAAGCTCACTAGTAATGTACTTGGGTTTGTCTGAATCACAATAATTAATTCATATATATGTCGAAGGAAATTTGAGACATAAATTCGGAACTTGAAAACAGTCTTATTTTCGTAGAAACTTTTCATTTTGCTCCTCATTTTCTTTATAACTGTTACTTTATTTTTCTCCCACAGCATTTGCAGAATGTGGAGCAATACATTTTGGAGAGTCTGGCATGGAAAAAGGTATGTGTAGGCTTTTAACAGCTTTGGTTGAGTCTACAGCCTGGGCAGGTCTATTCTTTCCTGATTTTCAAGTATATTGCTCTCTGGCTAAGACTAAGAGCATGCACCTGGGTGACAAGAAATACTTGCTATTATGCAAATGTGCTATTATGTGAATTCCGAAAGGGAGTAATCTAGAGAAAAGAGGGCAGGTGTTTGCCTGGCTTCAATCAGTCCTCAAGTGAAATGAGTCCTTTTGTGGCTGATCCAGACATTTTCATGGTGTCTTAAAGCAAAAAGTATATCACAAGTTCCATCAAGCATAGTACAACTACCTTGGAATTTTTTTGAAAAATCCAAACAAACTATACTTATGATGAAATGAAATGTGCACATGGACCTGCTGTGATGTAATGTGGGGGGGTGGGGGGTTATAAAAATAATAATAGATAGCATTTGTATAGCGCATATCCCCGCTCAACAGCAGGCTCTCTGCACTTTACACTATATTATTACCCCAGCAGACCATAGAACACTCCGAAACATTCTTAGCTTCCCGTGAAGCATACAGTGCAAGCAGCTGATTAAGCGCTCAAACACTAACATACTGACAAGATCTTTCGCTGTCTATAGCCGGGTACCCGTTCCCACCTGGGTGAAGTGAGGAAAATTTGTGTAAAGTGCCTTTCCCAAGGACACAACGTCGGGTCCCTGACGGGATTCGAACCCACGACCTTACGGTTGCGAGTCCGAGAGGGTTATGGGAGGGGAGGTCAAGACTGTATAATATCACTGTCTATAAAGTATAGATAGTTAAAGAAAAGGAAACGTTCTTTGTGGCCCTTTGTTTCTCACAAATGTGTCTTGCATTTATATAAGTCTATACTTTTCTGCGAAAACAAACGAAATTGAAAAATGATTTAGACCATCATTCCCATTATATTTTTTTCCCCTCCAATTTCCTTTTCATTTCTTTCAGGACTCCATGCTGTTTAATGTGATGGGCACCTGGGAAGTTGGACAGATGACCACACCCACCAACTCTCCAGCGAAATCTCCAGACAAAAGTAACAGTGTGAGGGCTGAGCAGAACGAGTCGCCCGCTCATTTGTGAGTCACCGGGTTTTTGGAAAACTCGCTTTCTTTCTTTCTATATCTACCTCTTTCCTTCCCTCACTTCTGATTCTGCCTTGTCCCCTTTACTTCCCCCTCGTCTCCTCTCACACTCCCTCTCCTTCCCTCCCCTTCCTTTCATCCCCCTCCGTCCTTTCTTCCCTCCCTTCTTCCCTCCCTTCTTCCCTCTCCTTCCCTCTCCTTCCCTCTCACTCTATTCTCTGTCTCTCTCTCTCCCTCCCTCTCCCTCTCCCTCTCCCTCATATGTGTCTGGTTCAGTATGAATTGTAGGGTATATTCCATAATTAATTTTGAATTTCAATCTTTCTTCTTGGTCAGATTCATGTCTCCGGTGCGCCAACTCTTTCCACCTCAAGGGTCTCCCGTAAAAGTGGAACAGTCTGCTTCAACCCCCATCTCTTCACCGTCCAAAACAGAATCTCCTGCCAAAGAAGGTTCACCTGCTCACTCAGCCAACAGCAGCTCTGACACTTCAACCTCAGTGAGGCCTCCGGCCAGAAAGTCTCAGTCGTTATCTCATTTTTTAAGTCGTGGTGAGTACATTTTCTGTTTGTGAGGTTTACTGACAAAATGAGTTGCCTCTCGCAGTCCACAAGTGGAGATATCAGCCAAAAATCGACAGGAGGGTCAAATTTGCGAATTTTCAATGGATGCCATTTTCTTCAGGTATAGCATGTCTTTTATTATTTCATACTTATAAATTGCACAGACTCGGTCTATAAATTTGAGGTTTCTTATTTCCATAGAGATAAAATCGGAGAAGTGACTCATTTTGTCTGCACACCTCACTTTTGTTTGAAACTAATTGTGAGAAATGGTCAGCATTTTAGATCTATCATAGACTCGGTGGCCTAATGATTATCCTGCCAGGTATGTTATTCAGAGGTTTTGAGTTCAAAGCCGTGGAGAATTGGTTTCCTGAAAAAGACGTATAAAACTTGCAAGTACATATTTTTGATTATTACCATCAAGTTGGTGTAAAGCATGGCATTTTATTGCTCTGTGTTTGTGGACCTTTTTTTATCTTAAACTTACAGGGAATTTCGTTTCCCTTTATGTATGCATAATTAAGAGCACTTGAAAGACTAGTCGATCCCCGAGTATGACACTTTACTGTGATGTTTAAGTTAGTCCAGGACTTTCTCTTGTCTAAACTGTGGTGTAGTTTGTTCTATGTCCTTCCTTGCCATTATCATCCTCATCTCTCCTCCTTTTTTTAAGTTACTCTCTAGTAACACATTATCTTCTGAATTTATATGACCTGTGTTGTCAGTGCTGTAAAACTTTGACCAAAGCTTTAAAAAAAAACCCACAAAAAATCCCAGCCTAAACTTTTATTGTAAACTTTTTAAATGCCATTGTATACTTGATTTGCATTGATAGTTTTCATGCTTTATGTTGCTGTTCATCACTTGTTTGCTGGATACAGCTACATCATTTTTAGCCAAGTTGAACTTGAAACTGGCAGCTATGATGTAATGATTAGGCGTTTCTCCCTCGCACACAGGAAAAGTGTTTGCTTTCAACTTGTGGAAGTTTTGTCATGTATGTTTGAGTGTCTGCTCTGTTGTTGTTTGTCTCTCTCTCTGCCAGGGATGGCCCTTTCAGGAAAGATCAAAGCACCCTGCCTCATAAATTGTCTAAATTGTATTGATGGGGCTTTAAAACATTTACTCTATTTCTTCTCATCAGTGTGCAGGCTGGGCTACTGTCGTCTCTCTAAGCTGTGCACCAATCTGCAGATCGCCAAGGATGTGGTAAGATTGCCTATTTGTTGTGTTAGTGTCAAGGAGGATGGGTGCCACTGCTAAGTCTTGCCTAATTTGTTTTTCCACAGTTGTTTCTGTCTGTCTATCTTGCTTGTTCTCTGAGCTAAATGGACATCATTGAATGGATGTCCTTTTTTGAAAAATCAAAAAAGCATTATTGTTGACAGGAGAGGGAATTTCGATTTACTGTAGCTTGATTTGGAGGGAAAACAGGCGTTTTAGCATTTCTGGTTTGAAATAATAATATATGAAAATTGTTTGCCAAATTTTCATAAGGATGTTATAAAAAGTGCTGGTTGTGATTGTGAGTGAACAGGGTGAGAATAGTCAGTTTTTTTGGTTTTCTAGGTTCTGTTGGCCTGCTTGAGCAAGGGTCTTTTTCTTTTTCTTTCTTTTTTTTTTTTCCTTTTTGGTTTGGTGCCAAATTTATTTTAAAATTCACAAGATTTTCCATTCTAGACATTGTCTGGCTTCTTTCTAGTCCTCTTTCCTTTCATTGTATGACTTAAATTTTGTTTATGGGATATCTTTCATTTAGCTATCAATGTATGAATTTCCTTTCATGGCTTAACTTAATTTATACAATTGTCTTATATTTAAGAATCTTGGGGTTTTTTGGGTCTTATCTCACTGCACCTTTCCAGCTCAACTGGTCTCATCTTATGTATTTCAGCAACACAAAATCTGGACTTGCTTCGAGCACTGTGTCACGCAAATGCCAAACTTGATTAAAAACCGCCATATAGATCAGGTAAGGGTACAGACGCATCTTTTGCAACAAATGTTTGTTTGCAATGTCATAATCTTGCTTTAAAAAAAAATTTATTCCATGATGCTAAAACAGAAATAACAAAACAACCCATTTCTAATCCTTTAGCATTGTTTTCCTCTAAGAACCTGAAAACTCTCCATTTTTCCATATCCTTACTATCGTCATTTCCCTCTACTTCTTTTGTATGTTTGTCACACTCTTGTGACCCGTTATTTCCGGGGTGCCTTGATAGTCGAAGCAGACTTTGTGCTGTTGAAGCTAGAGGGGTAAGCAGAGTAAGGAAATCTCTGTTGACATTCACCCTTTTGCGCTCATATGACTTTATGCAGTTGCGAGCGCCGTAAAACCTAAACTAAAACTAAACTAAAACTCTTCATTTGGAATTTTTTTGTGAGAAATGTGCTTTTTTATTAACTGAGACTGCACCCATGATAGATAATGCAGTTTCCTTTAAAAAAAAAATGATAACCCCTTGAGACTGACGATAGATGTTTAATCTCTGTAAAACCTTTGCTTGGTATGGCTTTACCTTTGTGATTGCTTCTAAGGTCAGTTTATTCCTTTACATTAGGGCGAACTTCTAGAATTTGAATCATACTTCAATTTGGCTCAACCATTATTATGTTGTAGAGGGTGCCATATCTGCAGGCCTGCTGTACCAGTGTTTTGTACAGGTCCTGTAATCAGCGGTAGCGCAAGAAACTACATAACGCAGAACAAATGTTTCTGAGTGATTGACCTGCACTCTTTTGTGCTATTTTGTTTTTCTTCGGTATCCATATGCCTATTTGTATCATATTACTTTGTCAATCTGGGTTATTGTTTTGAAAAATTTCAGCTACTTTTCATAAGATTAAGTTCACTGGAGTTAAAATGATTTATTTCCACTTCAGCTTTTCCAAGTCTTTTTAATGTACAGATTGTTTTAGTTCACTTTTACTTTACTTGTCTTGTTGAATCTTCGACTTGTGTTCCATCCCAGTACCTTTAGTCTTTTGTAGAAGTGTTGATTTTTTCTTCTTCTTCATCTTTTCTTAGTTTTTCTTAATGTATTGTTTGTTTTGTTTTACCTGAGCTTTCCTTGATCTTTTTCTGATGTGTTTGAGGTCACATAGAATTTCAGACAAGATGACTTTTGTGAGCTACAGCTTACCTCCTTTCTTTCTTCCCTCCACAAACTTTCTTTACCCCTTGGTGAAACAGTTACCCGATTTTTTAAGCAGTTTTCTGAAGCAACCTTTTTTTGTATTGTTTCCTCTCCTCTATTCCAAACTTCATTTTTAAAAAATATGTCTCAGATCCTTATGTGCTGCATCTTTGGGATGTGCAAAGTTGTGGGACAAGACGTTCGGTTCAAGAGCATTGTGCATGAATACAAGACGATGGCTCATGCTAGACCTGAGGTAAGTACCATACCTGAATTAGCTTCACCAGAGCTAGAGGAAATTTAAATTGTCATGTTCTCTTGAAATATCTTCAGCAAGCTGCTTAACTGTTCAAGCTTTTTTTTTCTCTTCTACATTCAGAATTTGAATTTGGACAAAATATTCCTCAAACATGTGCAACTAATACCACAGACTAAGAAACTGCAATTTACAAAAATTCAAAATTTTGGACTTACAACTGACAGCTGTACTAATTTTGCTTGGGGATCGGTCAGTTTAAATTCTTACAGATTTTGGTAAAAGTATAAGCCTCCACATCTTCATACATCACTATGGGTACAGAGAACTGTTCGCTATTCTTGTAAGACAAAGTTGCTACTCGGATGTTGCATACTAAGTTAAACAGTTTAAAATTAGAGGCTACACTTTACTTTCACCCACCGCGTTTTTGTTCCCAGTTGCTATGGATATTGGGCATCACGAGGAAAGGTGGTAATAGTGTTTGGTTCCCATCATCCTTTTAGTTGTCCAGGAAATGCTGCTGAATTGGATATAAAGAGTAGAGCAAACACAACTTAATGACTTTCACATTGTGAAGTGACAATCATGCTGCTTGCTGTTGGGTACCGTATAGCTTGTAATTTATCAATATAAAAAAAAAAGACTAATGTAAGAGGGATTTCATAGGTTATTAAATAATTTTTTCTGCATGCCGTTATTAAGGGAAGACCTGGGTCGGCGATCCCAGGCAATATCGATAAAATTGTTCAAACTATCCAACTTTTTTTTTTTGCGGAAAAACTTCCTTTGACATCTGTTGTATCTGGTCACGATGAAGAAACTGTTGAAAAAGCACCCAAAATGAAATAAAAGGACGTTTGAAAAGTGCAAATTGCTCTTAAAATCCTTTTTAAAAATCCCTGGGTTTTTTTCTGTTTTTCTCAAAATCTACTTTT